ACTCGGAAATGGCGATTAAATTCTGTTTGCGAGCGTTCTGGCCCAAGCGGCCAAGAAACATAGTCGTTCATGATCGGAAAGTTCTGCTCGGACAGGAAGCGATAACCGTCTCCGGGGGGAAAAAAAACGCATAAAAACGGCGGAAACAGACATAAAAGCGACATAGACGTGTTTGAAGCCACGCACTAATACGCAGCGAGCCGCCCTAGTCGTTACATCAAGCTCGATATTACCTCCGCGGTGCAATGTATGCCCAGAGTAATTTCCTCGGTTATGCGGTCTGGTTTGTTTTGGCTAGTAATATCGTCCCTTCGCGCGACCCCTCTTTCTCTTACTGTCGCGACGAGTACCGTTTTTTCCTCGTATCCTCGCCAGCCGTGCTTTTTGCCCCGACGACCATACCCTCTCAGCTGCGAGAAGAGGGGGAACGCGGAGACAACACACTCGTGAAAAATCTATCTACCGCGAATCGAAACCCTCGCCGCGAAAAACTGCTAGCCCTCTCGACGAAAAGGTTATTACGCGAACAAAATACGCGACCAGATGGACTTTGTTTGGGTGCGTTCTGTTTCTGATGCACGCTGGGGAAGCTTTTTCAAAAACACCGTTTCCGACATGGAGCGTGTTTGAAAAAAGCAGTGCCGGAAAAATAGAGAGACCTCCGTGTAACTGCAGCAATTTGGAGGAAATGCTTTGAACAGACTAAACGTGCCAGAAAACGACCAGAAAACGATCACTCTATGTTTGCTTCTGTGCTCGCACAACAAAGTAATATAGCTAGTTTCGCTGTTTCACTGTTTCCGGCCACGCTAAATCCCTAAATTCAGATTACATTAGCCACCGATATTTTTTGCTCCACCAGAACGATTTCCTTTGTGAAGAAAAAAAAGAAACGAATTATCGGTTTTCTATACGATCTCGCCGCAAAAGCGGGCTTGTCATTCGCAGGATTAATCTGCTTTAATGGAGCGATTCTGGCGATATTATATCCACATTTTACTGTTCGCGAGATCGGGCTATTTCTCTAAACGATGGCAACTCGCCGTGATTGCCGCAGCCTTTTCAATTAGACCCGCAAATCCTCTTTGATTCGAATTGCGCTGGCCGATGTGCCACCAGTTAGTCCGGGTCATAAACGTTTTGACGATTGCATCAGGCACCATGCAGATGCCAATCACAACTAATTGCTGACATCGTTATGCTTGAATACGCAAAAAGTCAACGGAAAAAAATAGATGTGAACAAAAGAGGCAGAGCACAAAAGAAAACCGTTACTTTTTTTTTACGACCAAAGAATATTTTTGTATTGATATCTAGCAGTTAGTACAGCCAAGCAATTAACGCGGTAATTGAAACTCGTACAATTTTGACAAACTCACACCTGGATACTATAAACACGCAAGTGACATCTACGTTTATTCGCTGTAATTGAAACGACACAATCCAGTTGCTGAAAGACGATTGATATAAATTGATATAAATTACATTTTCCCATTTTAGTAAAATAAAAGTGTTCGTAAAAGTATTTTTGTGTAAAAAATGCAAATACTTTGTATAACATTTTTTTCTATGAAAAGAAAAAATGCAAATTTATATCACACCACAATATAATTAACTCTTTGTTCCCAGCGGGTCGTCTGGCGGCTCTACGAATTTTTATATGTTCTCACCCTTATAATAGCCAACAGAGAAAAGTCTTAACCCCGCAAAAAAATAGCCATCGGCATTGCCGAAAGGAGAAGAAATCCCTCGGCTTCAATCGACGTAATGGCATCATAAAATACATATCGCAAAGTACGCGCGGTCGAAAATATATCTTGAGGAATTATTATTATTGACTTATACTACTGTATATTACTGTATATACTACTACTATATATTCCTTATTTTTTTATCATCGAAGAAATTATATTCTTTAGCACTCCATCAAATTCCCTAGATTGATATAAGCAGAGATTATATTTTATTACCAAATAATCAATAATTCGATAGAGATTGCGTACAAAGTGACGAATGACACACTTTCTTTTACGCTGATGAAAATGTGCGCTTCAAGGGTATCACACTTAACAACGGTAACAATTTCCACATTCGATATTCGCGAAGAGGTTATCGTCGATTAATTGGAAAACCACGTAGGGGTTTCGAGAGATTATTAATTGGACTGTTATTAATTCAGCATGTTCCCCGCGAGCTCTCTCCCAACTCTCGATGCGAGAGATCGCGTATTGCAGTTACTTATCGAGGTTAGTATCCGATTATATTTAATAATCTCATCAGAATGATGCATCTCCATTCATATCATTAGTACGAAAACAAAATTTATCTCAATTAACACAATACGTGTCCGCATTTACTTAAATTAATCGTGTTATCGCGTTATAATTAATCTACAAAGTAGTAATGTAATATCTCCCTCGTACATTTGTATTTTAATGGATTTAAAAATTCTTTAACTAAATATTTTATTTTAGTGTGTTTTTTTATGCTTTTAGAAAAAAGAAACTCTAGAATTTAATATCATGCAAAAAAACAGAATTCTATTACTCCATCATATTTCCATTTAAGAAAGAATTTTTCGATACAAGTCCAGATTTTATTATTTTCAACAAATCGATCACGAAATCGCGACAGGAAGATATTTAAAAAAAAAAAGAATTTTTAAATTGTTTGCTATCGTTACGGTAAACAATATGCTGGATAACAGACTATATGCTGGATTGAGAAGTAATATTTATGTATGACGCGCTATCTGCTTCACATTTACCTATTGATTTAACTCTTCATCCGCACTCTAAATAGAATCAACGCTACCGTCGTGGGGAATTTTACGAAATAGTTACCGAAACACGATTAGAAGCTGTCGCCCGACGCGTAACGTTTAATCAGACAATAATTAACGCTTGCTCCAATTTCAAAGTCTTGACAGCGTAGGCAAGCAGCAAGAAGCTATTAAAGTATTCATCGACACAGTGGCTTTCATAGCACTGAGTAAACACGAAGGAAAAAGAAGTTCTATCTTTGATTCATCCAATTATTGTGCACAACTCGTGCAACTTTAAGAACATTACCTTGCGCAATAATTTGTGAAAAAAGTATTTTAACACAGCTCTCTGCACATAAGTCTCTTTTTTCAAAGAGTTCTGAGAATATAATTATTCTCGTGCAAAAACATTCAGTATATCAGTTATTTGCCCGACAAAGTTTATCGAATAATTAAAATGAGCACCACTCATGAAAGTAAGGCAATTAGTTTCGTGGCAGCGCCATTATAATCCAGAAAGCAAATTGCTCAAAATAACCGGCGCTCTGCTGAAAGTTTTATCGTAATAGCGGTGATTATTAGTTCTTTTTGGTATTCGCATAATGAAATAAAAGGCATATCCGTCACTTTTAATTTACGATCACAGCTTCTATTAGCCAAAGAGAAATCGATGTATCATTAATTCATCCGGAACGTGAGCGCGCGATGATAAGCTTCATTAAGAATCGATGCCCAATATTAACCGCATACGCTGGTAAAAGTATCTGAAGGTGTTCGTTAAAGAAATACATACTTTTTTCTTATTAGCGACAATGATAAAAAATACATTAAAATTAAAATGTCGATATATTTAAAAAATTTATATGTACATAAATATATAAAAAAGTCTATTCTATTCTTTACTTTTCAAAACACAAAAATCCGCTTTTCTTTCTTGAACTTTCTAGGTATAAATTTAATTAAAAGCTTAATATATTTCGATTAGATATATAAAGTCTATTGCTTGCAATATGCCGTTTTTTGCGACGGAGTTAAGCGCAGGAGTTCGTCGTTTCGAAAATTCCGGCGAAAAACAAAAACGAATCAGGCTAAAGAGCAAACGGAGAAAAACGGCGGAGTGTTGCTCGCTAAAGCACCATAAAGTCTCATTGGCTTTAATTCGGTCGTACCCCGCTGGCCACTGGGAGTGATTAATCGTAACGTTACTGCAACACGAAAGCGCCTTACCACCAATCATTCCTTACGATGCTTTAAAAGAAAGTCGACAATGTTGCTTAATGCGTTCTCACTTAATTGATTATATTTGTCTCGCGGAATTAACTAGAGCAAACATTTTATAAGGTGCGTTCTAAAGTTGATTCTTAAAATTGAAAAAAATCATTACGAGCTATTAGAAAAAATTTGTTTTAAATTATAAATTATATTCGCACATAACGCGCCTTTCCAAAAGTTTCTTTCTGTTAACCGATACTCTCAGTGACCACGACAAATATCCGTGTCCCCATTTATAAAGTTCATCATAAAAGAAAGAAGGGGCTTTCGGTTTACGGCGATGAAAAATTCAGTTACTTTAAAAGGAAGGGAAAAAGGTCGGTCAATCTTTAAATAGAACAAGATATACATTTTTATGCCCCGTTGTATCCGTTATTAAATCTTGAAACTTTTTAAGACTGTCTTTCATTATTTATCACGTTCCCTTTGAATTGCTTAAGGGATTCATAAGACGACTAGTCTAGAGAACTTTTATAAATGTTACGACATTTTTTATTATTAACACAAAACAAAACAAATTGTAGCGTTTACTTCTACAGGCTATATTTAGCTCAATTTGGTTTCTCGCTGAATACATTAATGCTTAAAAATGGGAAAAACATATAAAAAAATGTAAATCGTACTAAACGAATAGAATAAAATCGGAAAAGCCCTAAAAATCACATATATTTAATTGTAATATAGCAGATATGCGGAAATGAAGTCTCCCCAATATCCGTTCATCGGTATTTAAAAGCCAAGTATATCGTCCGTGGAACATAATCCGCGCGCGAGTGCAGCAGGTCACGTGAAACAAAACGAAACGCTTATGAATTCTCGAAGAGTACGTTTATTTTCCCGTCACTTATAAATATGCATGCGGCTCCAGCGTATTCCGCGGTGCAGAGGACCGGCGACACTTTTTTTTTCATTCGACCGGACGCCGGACCGTTGATTGAAAGCGCGCTCGCTGTTGCTGTTTCAGCTGCGCGAGTACACTCTGACCGAATCGTATCACGAAGACGACGTCGAGGTGGAATTCGTCAGCAACGACAATCTGCAAGCGAACAGCGAAGCTCCCAGGGGAATCGATCCGAACAGGGACCTAAACGAGGCCATAGCCGAGGAACGGAGGGAAATGGACACCCAGAGATACAGGTACGTTTCTATACCGCCGACCTTTTTCATCCTTCTTCCTCTTTCCCTCCTTCCATCATCGAACTTTTTACTCCGTATTTTCCGAACTATTGGGAGTAGAAAGTTGCCGCGAATTTGGCAACTGAACTCGAAAATCAAGAAACTATCATTTTTTGCCTCCTTTTTTTTGGACGCCTACATTTTCAATCACATTGTTGGATTTATTCGAATTGGAATTGGAATGTGTCAATCTAACCGAAAAAGTACAGAGCGAGAATTAATTAAAACTTTTAATTTTATTTTTTTCCAAAACTTAAGATATCCTTTGACATCTGAATGACATAATTTCTTTTCATTATTCAGATAAATACAAGTATAAACTGCATCAGAATTGTGTATACCAGTGCTCATTAAATTATAATTAACAATTAATCATTTCTAAATTAACAAATAAAAATAAATTAAAAAATTTAATTTTTAATTTAAAAAATTAATTTTTTAATTTTTTATTTCTTAATTTCTAAGGTGAAGCTAAGGTTTCGCGTTCAATTTTTTACGTTACTTTGGCAATGTTATTAAAATTAATTTGGATGCAAGTTTGAAAAAATTATTAAATTTTTATATCTAATATAACTTCAGTAAGTCCTTCTAAAAACTCGTTAAAAAATCTGCATCTTTTGCAATAAATTACTTACCACAAGATTACGCCAGCGCTGTCTGATGCCCCCCGGACCTCCTCCTCCTCTCAGTAGTCTTGATCCTTTATGGCACTCACACGCGAAAACGCGGTACAATCACGCACATTTCGAACTCGCGCGAAACTATTACGGCACTCCCGATATTAACCGCACTTTTAACGCGCATTTTTTATATCACGACGGAACGAAATTACAGCGGAACGACGATTTACCAATACCGAAGTAGCATGAAAGTTTATCTGTAAAATATAAACACAATTTACATTATATAGCAGCATCCAAAACAGAATTATGGTACAGTTTGATAACAATATCATCTATTAATAAATATAATTATATTCTTTAGATTTTAAATTAATTAAATGTTAAATGATGTGTCGAAATGTTAAATGATGTGTTTGACCGCTTGAGCGAGTTTATCAATCCATCCATTTTAGTTAGCAAAACTCTATAAATAATAGCATTGTAAATGCCAATGCTTGTTTTACCAAGTTCGCAATTACTTGAGACGCTTAACTCGCTCAATAAAAAACGATATATGTAAATTAAATTGGCAATGCATTACACGAGATAATATTTTATATTTTTTGATTGAATAAATAATATATTGATTAAAAAATAACGGTAATTTTTACTATATTTCTAACACAAAAGAACCTATATAACAATCATGAAAAATACTTCTCACAATTGATATTACGGCATATCATTCTCTCTTTATTGAGCTATTCTCACTCATATGAGAAGGCATTGAGAAGCTAGTACCTCATAAATCTACTAATAAGAGGGTCCGAGAAAAATCCCGAAGTTTGAGTCAGCTCGTTAAGCCTAACTGCGCAGGACTTTCTCTTCAAGTTTTAGTTCCGCTGGTAAGTCATCCAGAGGCGAAGCTTACAAGCTTGGATGTGAAACGACAGACAGTAAACGCCTTCTTTCGCGGAGATAAGAGAATCGCATAAGTGACAAATATATATTCAATGAACACATCTGCGTCCACCATATTTCAGTCCGGGAAAGCGAACGAACGTCCGTATATCAGTATCAAATTTTTAAAATAGCGTCATTGACCGCTCGGAAGCAGTCTCTTCGTCTATCACCTTGCCTTTTCCTCGAAATAGTCGAGAAGCCAAACGCGTACGTGGAAACTCATAAAATTTTATGACGAAATAGTACACCGTGCGAAATGTTGAGTCATCTTTCTCGCAGCAAGACTCAAAGCGAATGACAAATATTTACAGCAAACGCGACATTCGTTGCCGTCAGATATCCGTTGAGATATTTCAGACTGAAAAGTCCATCGAGAAATGATAGTATCGATTGAAAATGTTATCGAGGAAAAGATTTGTTTTAGCTTAGATAAACAGTTTGCAAGCTGTTGTAGATAGAATCTGAAAACGCGAGAGAAAAAATAAACAAGATCACATACTACGCATACAAGAAATAATATATTGCACAAAACTCATAATAAACTTTCGAGAAATCCACCTTCGATCATCATGCACTTTGCAATTCGCTTGCGAGACGCATTCATAAGGACTTTTTCTCTCCAATGACCGACCGTCCGCCGAAATATTGACTTTTTTCCCTGAAACACTCTCGCATTTCTCTCACTTTATGAAAGACTCTGTACACGCTCGAGGAGAGATCCGTCCAACCTTTCACCGCTCTCTTTTATGACGCGAACTCGGATCGTTCTCCTTTGCCTTCCAGCGGCGCCCCTTCATGCCCTTACGAGATTTCTCGCCCGTCCCTCTAACATGCATCTTCTCGCTCTATTTCTCTCTTTAACTTTTACGACGGAGAGCTCGAGCGGAGGTTCGCATGAAGATCGCGAGAATTTTCTTCTCACGATGTCACCCTCACTCGGCCCTCACTCGGAAAAATCGTCGGACTTGCTCCGTGACGTTTGACAACTCTGTGCAACGTTTGCGCGATAATAGAGCGCGAATGCTCAGATACGCCCACAGAAGAAAATTCGCCTGCTGGAAACATGACTTTCCACTTTCTCCATATTGCCCTGGCGCAACATCGCCTCAAGTCTCTTCAATTAACCTTAATAAAATTGTCTGTTTTTTATTCCTAATACACGGTGAGGTGCAAACTGTGAATTACTGCTAACACCGTTCGCTCCAATTGCACGGGAATAAAAGTTTAAGGAGGATTTATGGAGATGTTTTAAGGCCACTTTTCCACGGCGCAAATAAAACGTTTGTATTTCCGGATCCAAATTAAAATTTTCCATCGTAAAATACTAAATAATCATGTTAACCAAGCATTAACGTGATTCGAGATATAAAATTCACGCATTTTACTCATTGCCCAATTTAACGATGCAGTTTTTTAATAGCCAATATTCGCATAATTTTATTTCTCCAAAATTTATCATTATTTAATCATTTTTTATCTTTATCTCTGACTCTAAAATTTTTAATAAATTTAATCGTGAAAAAGAGTGATTATAATTACATATAATTACATATATATATTTTGTAATATAACTTTTCCAAAAAAAAAGTAAATAAATAATAATTAATAGCGCACATAAAAGCGAAATTTAAACGCAAAATTTGTGCGTTTGGGAAATAGAATATCAACAGAAGGACTAATTTATGGTCAATATGTATAGGTATATTTGCGCAGGACAAAGAGTAATATTCTCTTTCGTTTTATTTGTCAAAACAGAAAAGTCTACCGGTGTCGCCCCGGAGCCACAAATGCAATTTATCATGTAACACAACTAGTCGTATTGGATACATTGCAGTCGACATTGAATGTAAATAACAATATCACACGTCCGCGTCTGATCTCCGTCACTGTATGCCGATTCAAACACACAAACAGTAATTTATTAGTTCGATATGATATCACGTGCTACGCACGATGTTCTTGCGTTTTCTTCTAGTCCTGACCGCGAACGTACTTGAGGAGTGCGCTCTTTGAGACTCGACTTTGAAGTTACTCCGAGATCGATCGGTAAAGATGACTTCCATCGGACTTTCATCATAATGAAAAGTAAATTATCGGATATTTTCATTAACTTAGGTGAGAGTCGGGAAATAAATATTTGCGTGTAAACAGCTCAATCGGATAGTATTCAACTTCGTGTCTTTAATCTATATAAAAGGCCACACCGTCAATGCTTTAAATTTCATATTGTTTTGAATTTCAAATTTTGAATTATGAAAATTGTAAAATATCAACGAAATACGAATAATAAAAAATCGTTCACGTGCCTCTAAATAAATGATAGAAGAGAAATAAACAATACTTTTGAAAGCGACAATAAATTTCCACGGCAATGAATAAATTTTTACGGAACATGATAGATGCGGCGCGCGGCGCAATGTGTGCTTATCTCCCGCATTTAAGGCGCAATTGCCATAAATCCAATGTTTTCAACCGACATAAAGTTCCGTCGTCTTATCTCTTATCCGTAACACATTCCACTACTATTTGCAACGTGGCGAGCCATACGTATCCCTCTATTCGCGCTCCGAATATTATTCATTTCTTCTGCGTCAGACTCGGAATGTCGTAAAAGTACAATAAAGTTTTTCGAGAATCGAATGTTTTTCCGCGTTACAACCAGGTGCACGTTTGACATCCGTTGGCTGATTACAGTATTATTTATCGCGGACGTCCTGATTCCTGACAATTTCTGCGATACGTACAGTGCGTCTGGCGGCTCGTCGTAATATCCGGCCGGAGCTCGCGATAATGTCAGGTCGGCGGAAAACATCGACACCGTGCAACGACGAGGCGCGCGTACGACAGCAACCTGAAAATAACGTTATAACGCGCCACTCCCGCGTGATATCGTCCCGCGCCGCATTTTATACTTGTTTTACTTTGCCGGGACGGACATGCTGGCGCGTAGCGAGATTTTCATGACCTCCAATTTCGATCAAGCTGCCCGGCGAAATTGAGAAAATAAAGGGGATATTTTCTCGCGAAGCTGACCGAGCGTTGTGCGAAACGTTACAGGTGTCGAAAAAATGTTAGTATGTGAAAGAAATACCTATTCGTACAAATATAAATCCAAAAAACAGTAATATGCCAATTTGTCTAATCTTGATATAAATAATATTAAATATCAAAAATAAAAATCATCGAATGTATACCTTTTTAATTTTATATAAAATATTCACTAGCGCAATGCTCTAGAAAAATTCTGTTCGAGACACCCTTTAAATTCGATTATATTTTCATCTGTTGTTTCGAGGTATCGAATAGTTGCTGTCATATCTTTTATCAATACATCGTAACTGCGTGAAAAATCAAAATCTATAGTGGAAGGTACATCCGGTGACTTTAAAACATCCC